CCGTCTAATGAAACGCGTTAAGAAACCAAGGAAAATTGTCGCTAAGTAAATGACTCCCGTAAATGTACCTGTTGCGAGGAAGGTTTAAGAAACGCATTGCGAAAGCGGCCATTACGTTGCTTTACTGGCGAACATTGTACAACCTGAGACCTTCTCTTGCATCAAAGGTGTCCGTGTTTAATGTACGGATACGTACTGTCTTTAATCGATAACATAATTAAGAAAACCAGTACCAAGGAAAGCAGTCGTTACACAGACAGGTCCAAAATTTGTAACACAATCAAGAGACAGGTATTTCTTCGTGTAAAAGTATGTAGCAAGTGTGGAATACTGCCTTTGGTACCAGATTTTTGGTTTCAAGAAAGTTTCATTTAAACTTGGTTGGCGTGTCTGACCATCGCTTCCTAATTCTACTTATTCTTCGTCGGCCCTTCTTTCCTATTTTCGAATACCGTTCCTATTTCTGTATACAGTGAGTCATTAATTTAAAAGGCTTCATTTTTATTGGTTGCTTATTCCTCGCTCTGGCAGTTCTCATTTGATATTCACGAGGAGCATCCACGAAACAACAAACCCCTCCCTTCTTCAATTACGATGAAACTTCGCAGGTTTGTACAGCAGCCAAAAATAACAGATACGTATTTTAGTAGCTGCTGTAGCTCACGGTTAAAGGATGAAACAACCCTTCAAAGCTTCAGCCTTCCGGTACTGTCTTCGAAACTATCGGATATACGAATCTCTAAACAAATTCTCTAAACTCTAAAATACTCTATAAAAGTCTCTAAAATAGAATGGATTTACAATTTACTGTTTAAGATAGTGTTCTACCCAGCTTTGTTTGCAACATGGGTCTACCAAAATTTCGTTCCACGTGGACTTGGGACTCGATTTTACCACTTTGATGAAAAACTGCAATAACAGGTTTCTCCTCTCGTTTCGAATTTCGCAACGAACGCTTCTGGTCACGGAACATCTTCCTTCGAACGCGTCTATCAAGCCAATACGCGAAATCCCATGAGACAGACCGTAGTGAATCCGCGATTGCTTCGCGGCTAGGAGATGCACGTGCACTCGAGGTTTCTCTCGCGTCTGTAATTTCGCGAAATAAACCGCGCGACCACACGCATGATAGGAACAAATAAAGGCAAAAGAGAGAAGCAGCCAGAAACTGGTTGAAAATCCATCAACCATAACGCTGCATTCGAATCGCTTTTTATCATATTGCGATCCCAGGACAAAGGTCATTGTTGATGTCAGATCCGAGAATGCCTTCAATCACCGCCTCTACAACGCTTTTCATACCACATCCTTTGATGTTGATACCAAAGTTATCAATATTGTCAACACGTTAATGGTACGTCTTATAACATTCTAGCAGCCATTCTTTAATATTGACATCATCTATACGTAGTTGGTATTTTAAGTAATATTAATGCCAACGACTTCTGTGAGTACGTCCTTTGGCATCGATACCATTAACATCTTGACGATACGTTATATGATATCGATATGTTGTCAGTACGACCTTTGACATCAATACCATTTACATCGTGTCGATACATCCCTTGACACTGACACCATCGATACCGAACTGTGGAATATCTATTTTTCGTCGCATCGTAATTGGGCGATGAGACCTAGATCCATCATTGTGGTCCCAAGACGATACAATAAAGAATGTAGTGGAATGTATTGGCCACTAACCTTTCTGGGACGTCAACGATACTCTTTTAATCGAGCACGTATAAAACTATTGTAACAGTGGTCTATTATACACAACTGACAGGATTACGTGCAGTCATTGTTAAGAAGAGACGAGGTCGATTGACCGTTGGTGTCCTACTTTTCTATGATAACGAACTACGATCTACGAGTCGCTTATTATCCAGACTGCAATTAACGAACATGTAGCGATGATAAATTTCATACAGAAAAGAAAACGTATGGAAACCCATTTGTCTTTTTCTAGATGAATTATGCATCGCAATAACTGAACTATGCATATTCTTTCGTTTTACATAAATTGTTTCTTCTCGTCTTTCTACATGTAAAAGAGTCGTGTCATAAACATTAAGGACACAATAGTTTACGAGATACTTCGCATTTTATGTTACGATATTACTTCCTTCCAGGAGGCATTTGAACGTTCCACCGTGAACATTTAAACATTTTACTACGCGTCTCCTTACATTTTTTATTGCATTCTTAAGTTAGACAGCAATTAGACTCGTACAATTGGTTTTAATTTTATCTTTCGTGTCGTCTTATTTTGTGTTCCAAGAATTATGTTCGTACCAACTGTGAAAATTTATACTATTACATAGAATGTATCGAGATCACTCCTGATTAAGATTAAATCAAGCAAACTCTATGAAGTTCGAGGGACTCGAATGCATTCAGAACTCGGTTGCGAAACAGACAAAATAGACATTATCCGCTTAAGATGGGGCACACCAGGATCATGGCGGTTAATAAAATTAACGGTAAAATCGACCACATAAATTAAATCGTCCGTGGAGTAAGAGTTCCCCGACATCCACGAACGCTAATAGGCAACCTGACGGGCGATAGACAGCGAGTAACGCAAAATGTAGACCATTAATATTCATATAAATACCGGCAACATCTAATAAATAACCCCGATCGAAGGTATCGGGTACCCAGTAAACCGAATATTAGATTTAACATAAATGCACCCAGCCAGTTTTAACCGAGCGGAAGAAGCGTCGAAGTTGCATCGACGCGAAACGTCAGGAGTATCAGAAAAATGTTAAAGGAGCGATCGTACGTTTAAATTGGCTACCGCGAGCAAGGTAGGAGGAAAAAGTTAAGCGAAGAGGCGGAGCAGAAGTAAGCGATGATGCTGAATAGTGGACAGATGGAGATGAAGTGGAGGAATTAGTAGACGGAAGGAAAGGCAAAGCGCATTGGAGTTGATCGATGCAAGCGCCTCGCGGTTCTGAAGTTGAACGCGCTGACTGATACGCGATATATGTACATTAGGTCATCGCGTTCCAGAAGAAGTGGGAAGGATTGAAGTTGACCAACAGGTGCACTTTGTGCATTCAACCATTCAGAGAGGACATTAGCGGCGAAGTCAGCGAGCGAATTAAAACGTCCAGGTTCAGAGTTCGCGTCCCCTCTAATGCATCTAAACCCGCGTTTCATCCAAACGTACCGGCAGTTATGGGACTGTGAGAGCCTCTCGGCTTCCACGCGAGCATTCCTGATGAATATGACCGACGATTTTGAAGGTTAATATCGTTCCTAACGGCAGAAAAAATTCCAGTCGTATCAATCGCACGTGTACATCCATTTTCCACGCAGTGACCTCCTCGGTGGAAAAAGGCGCGGGAACGCCGATGGAAGACTGGTTCTCGACCGGGGACAACTAGCACGCTCTCTAGCACGTTGCAGTGATATCGCTTTATCGGATCTACCGTTACGTCGATCTGTTCTGCATCGACGGTACGATTCGCCCGTTGCCCGCGCCTATGCAGGACGCCTCTCGCATGGCAACACCGGAAACCTTGCAGCAGGGACCACACGGGGACGCGTGTCGGGCGACGTACGCGTCATCGATCGATGTCAGTCAACGTCGATCCAAACTGGTCGCCCGCGGACGGGAGGTGATCTAACTGTAAATCTAACGCTTTTCGCGTGCTCGAGTCAAGTGTATCGAACGCGCGAGAAGGGCTACCGCGAACATCGCCAGCGTCCAATGGTCTTCTGTCGTTCCGCACCATTCGATTCCACCCTGTTTGAAACGCTCGTCAGGCCGTCGCGGTGTCGGCGACCGATTTGCATAACAAATCGACGCGACGTTTACGGAGACCCGGCAGTAGTCCGTGTTTAAAGCGCGTCGATCATTGGCCACGGACGACCGTTTTTCACGGTTCGTTCCGTATGGTCCCTACGTTTGCCCTTAACTACTTCCCTGGGCAATTTCTTTTTTCGAATAGTCCGTCCGAGAAATCGTTATGTTTTCTTGGTTCGCTATTTGAACTCTCCGGGCTTGACATCGCGATGCACGCGGTCGAGTGTCGTCCCTTCTCCGGGAGAGTCGATGAAGAACGAACGCGTAATCATTATGCGTTAAATTTTCTTTCGCAGACATAATAGCTTACATTAGAATTAATTATGGGAGTATGCAACCGTGTATGCCTCTACGACTCGATGGGTAGAGTTGGGTGATTTTCATTTCCGAATAACAAATTAGAATTTTTAATTAGCTCGTCAATTACAGCATCCGTTTAGATTTCGCGAATTCGTTCATAAATTGGAATCCGTTAACGGATCTTTTCGAACCGACGCACAGGCGAGCGAAACTCCGGGCGATAGTTAGTTTACTAATAAATCTAATGCGTTTCTTCGCTCTTCCGTAAGAAAATTAGCTCCGATGGAACTCACGTGCGAACTTAGCATACGAGTCACGGTTTTAAGTAGTCTCGAGAGTGTTCATCGAAAGGTGGCTCGTTCGGTGAAATCTAGACCATCGATTCAGAGATTTTTCAACACCGTGCCCTTCCGATCCTCCGCAACACCTTTCACTACCCTCCTTCGTCTTTGCCTCGATCTATGGTGTTTCCAAGCACGGCCTAGGTACTTGGACTATTATTCGAAGGGTTAAAACAATCTCAAACCTAAGCTCAACTATCTACGTATTGACTCAAACCGAAATCGTAAAACAAATGCTCTTTGGATTTAACCCCTGAACATCAGTGCAAAGCTTTACGGATTTTCTGCGATATTCTCTTCCAGCGGTTGCGCGCATTCCTTGAATTATATATTTCGTTCTACCTTTAACACGGAGTCGCAGTTCTAGCCGGATAACGCTCGGCGGACATCGTCCCGGGCGGCGATAAACATCGGTTAATTTAAAGTTTTCATTCGCTTCCCTGTATAGCTCTTTAGCATTCCGCCGCGGCCGGGATTGGCCGTTAATTGGCACGCAACAGGAATTCCTGGTAGCCCGTGAACAGAATACGAGTAATACCAACCTGCGAGGAGGGTTTCTGCAGAAACGTCGCGATGCCGGCGCGTACCCTGTTCTTGACACCGCGCACGGTTCCCTTGGCACTGCGTATGGCTTCCTTATCGAGGATCTTGTAACCGGCAAAACACTCGTCGGTGTCCTTATCCCCCAACACCACTCCCCTGTTCGCGTCCTTATTGTTGCCTTTCAGTTCGTTCACGTGGAACTTGTAAAACCTGTCGTACTCGTAGAGGTACTTCTTGCCAGTCACGGGATTGATGCTAACGTCGACGTCCGCCGCGATGGACTCTTGCTCTATCCTCTCCTGCTCCTGCTTCCTCTCCTCGTAGGTGCACTCCTTGACCATGGGCGACGACGGTTTCCCGTTCTGTTCGATCAGAGGATCCGGACTCCTGATCCTCGGCGTGGAGGATGCTTTCGACAAGGTGGACGCCGCAGACGGTGACGGCGAGACGCTGGGAGAGACGCTCGTCGAGCAGGAATTCGACTCGACATCCGGCGTGGTGACTGCTGGCGCGGATCCCCCGTTCGACAGGTCCAGTCGGTTTAAGTTCAGAACCGTATCGTTCGCTGGATGATCGTCCACGCCATTCTCGAAGGTCTCCTGAAAGTCTGGGGACGCTCGATCGGTGCCGTTCGCGTTTCGCGGCATTATTCGATCGTTGAGGTCGCCCCCGTTCAGGGAATCGCAGCTGATGTTGCTCTCGTTGTCGTCGCTGTCCACTTCCGCGCCGCTGCTGGTCAGGCTTCCGGTGCGTTTGTGCTGCTCGTTGGCCAACGTGACCGTGCTTGCGTTCTTCTTTTTCGGAAGAGGCGGAGGCGTGCCGTCCAGGTCGCTGCAGGTCCCGCTGTCCAGGGTGTCGCTGGGCGAGCATTGTCCGCTGGCCATCACCATCGCGGTTAACGGGCTCTGGTACGAGTTGTAGTAGAAGCAGGCGCTCGAACGGTTGTTCGTGGACGAGGAGTTCAGGGTGTCCGTGGTGTCGCGGTGCACCATGTCTTTCACCGAGCTGTCGTTGTTCCGGTTTCGCTTCTCGTTGTTGTTGTTGTTGTTGTGTTCGAAAGCGTTGCAGCCGACACTGATCCTCACACAGCCCTCACCGGCACTTCCACAACGCTGCTCGTTCACCAGATTCGTCGCACTCACGACCACACCACCGTCACGGTTGCTCGAACGTTCGCACGCGATCCCGTTCTCCTGCTCGACTTCGTGCCCGAGGTTCTCGTCCAGAGTCAGTCGTACGGTGGATATCACCCTGCCGTTTTTCTCACCATCCGGGTTAATCCTGATCTTCACCACGTGTGCGGCTTGCTGCTGCTGCTGCTGGTGTTGCTGTTGCTGTCCCTGCTGCTGCTGTTGCTGGCTCTGCTGTGCCGTCGGTTTCACGCTGTTCTGCTTGCCGTAGCCGTTCGCGGATTGCACTTCCGGGATTCTTCTCCTGCAGGCTGCCGCGGAATCGACGCCAGGAGCGCCAAGTCCGACAAATACCGTTGCTCCGGCCCCTGTGCTCAGAGTGGCCGTGGGGGGATTGGAAACAGTTCGGATTGACACAGTCTGTCGGGCAACCTGACTCGCATCCCTGGCCTGAGCCTTCGCAGGCAGTGTCGGTGGAACGGTCATCGTGGCGACCTCGTCCATATACACATTCGAAACCACTGTCACTTCTTCCGCGAACTACACCTAGCCATCAATCGAACCTTTCGCGATATCTCTCTTTCTGTCCCCTCTGCCACACTCTCCCACTTATCTAATCGTAATTTTTCAATGGGACTCTACGCGATAGGCGAATTCGATCAGGAGTCTATAACCGTGGTTACAATCTACGATTCTATCTACCGACTATCTAGACACGTTGAGTAAACGACGATTCATCGCGTGGTCAACGGCAAAATGAAATTTTCCCTGAAGACAGCAGACATTCGGCGAAACATATTGCGAAAACCATGAACAGCACCCGAAAAGCATCGACCCCAATGGACGGATCGCTGCTCGCGTTTTCCAAACAGATGCACCAGGCGGACGGATCGCTCGCAATTTAATCGACAACCGATCGAACGATCGCGCTAAGACACACTGGCGACCCTCCGAGGATCGTTATCGCGTTACTTGTTGCGGCTCTAGGATGTCCTTCGCGCGGAATACGAAACACCTGCGAGCATCCGCGACGGTGCGCGCGAGTCGCGGAGAATCTGTCCCCCGGAGACTGGACAGCGAGAGAAAGAGAAAGAGAGAATGGAGGATAGACGGGGATCAAGATACAGAGAAGTACCGCCACTTACTGACCGCATGTGTTTATCAAGAGCAGCGCATGGTGAAACGAACTCGACTCTATTCAACGGTGACAACGGGTCGACGACGGCGATCGTTCACGGTACGGGCCGTCAGTAACTGTACTGAGTGGCTCTGACACTTACTCATGCAGTTTCGTTGCTTAGGTGGGGACCCAAGTTGGGCCTCGCGACGGGGTACCGCGAGAGAGGGAGTGGGAACGTCGAGTCGCGACCAAGTGGGGGTAACGCGGGCCCCGGAGGACGCGGGCCGAGTGGGAGGGAGTCGGAGCTCTCGCGAGCGAAAGAGCGCGGAAATGGCACGAGCGAGAAAAGAAAACGAGTGAATGAGGGAGCGAAAGAACGAGGCGCTGTGTGAGTAGGTAAATAAGCAGCCGGGGGGACGTGCGAGCGAACGAGCGAACGCTTCGAGCGAGTGAAAGGACGAGCTTGGTGCGAGCGTGTAAGCGTACGAATAAGCGAGAAAGAGGCGAGCGGGCGAAGGGAACGGACGAGAACGAGTCTTGGAAGTCGTCTGGCACGTAAGCACTTGCCGAGGAGGACGTGGCGTCCTCTACCGAGCCAGGTAGAATCGACTATCCGGTTTCTCATTTAAATACCTGTTCTTTACCGTTCACCAGGCTTTCTCGCGCGCGAGCCTGTGTCTGTCCGCGCGCGAGCGCGCGACCGATCTTGTCTGCCTGTTACGGAGCCGTACACCTGCCGAAATTTCACCGACACGGCGATCAAGGTCCCCGGGTCGGATGCTCCAGGGACTTGTTCGCGGTCGTGGAGGCTGTTCGCGCGCGCTGAAGCATGTGAATGGCCGCGTGAATGGAGAGCAGCCGGCAACGATACGAATTTTCATCCCGCGTGTAAAGCGTTCTTAGAACGGTCGGAAGTACGTGCGTGCACCTTGCGCAACGATTCGCTTTTGTTTCCTACCATTTCAGTGGATCGGACTCGAACGTTGCGAATGACCGTGTAATTACTGCCGCGGGAAAGCAGAACGCGTGTAACTTCTTAATGGGAGAAGGATGATACTTGTATTGGGTCGTTCGCGCGGTTCGTGTAAGAGTACTTTCGGTTTAAATTAATCGAGATAAATAGTAAGTTCCAATAGGCACTTAAATAATCGCCTTTCTAATAGGAATCCTCCTTTGAAAAGCGTTCCATCTCTGATCTAACGGTGGACACGTTGTTAAGGTATTTCCAGCTGACCCCGACACGGACAAGTTTTGTAATTGGGTTCTGATTTACAGAATGAATATTGTAAGCGTAATATTTTGAGTTGGATCTTCGATCAGATCAGTACTTGGGGGTGGGTGCGACATCTAGGGGCTGCTTTACGATCCAGGAGGGATGTTGCTAATGTGGAAAAATGTGGATCGCTTACACATCTTTCTCTATCAATACATTTATCATGAGAGTTCTATTTTGTAGTCGGATTAGTCGCAGCACAGACGAGGTATAAGAGTAGATCTTTCAACCAATGTATTTTTTCGGTCCATTTTTCTGGGGCTCTACAGCCCCATTACCATTTTCGTGTCACTCGCAACGTTACCAACAGATTTAGAAATAAACACAAGTGGAAGTGAAACAGAAAATTAAATTACAGAAATTTTAACATTTTTTATCGGAATGAAAGCTGTACGGTCCAGAATTGAGCATCAATCGATTAATTTCATTGAAGTAACCAATCGATTAAAGATTTCTAGATTATTAAAATAGGAGATGCTGCGCAAGGAGACCCGCCCCAACCACCCTTCCTTTGGCGAGGAATTCGAATACCTATCTAAGAGAGAAGCTATCGAAAAGTTAGAGATGAGCTACAAAGGTCGAGTTCTTAATGATTCTTGAATTTGTTAACATTATTCACTTGAATGATTAAGCAAATTTGGGCCACGAAAGTTCATAAGGCGTAAGGTCTACTCGTATACCTCGTCTGTGGTCGCAGTTATAACTGACCTTTCACACGAGGTCGATAACTTTCGATTCAAATAAATCCACACCGGTCTCTTGTTTCGTATAACCTGCTATTGAAACCTAGCCCGAAGTGCGCTTGTTTTAGCGAGAGTTCATTTATCCAGGTGAACTGGTCGATACTTTCATACCGTCGGACAAATCTTTATCAGTCACACCCTCGTATGTATATCGCTGTGAATTCTAACCGGCTAATACTTTTACCACCGGTGCCCATGGTAAGCGAATCTCGCGGCGTACGTTTCAAATATGCCACCTTCAAAATGGATCTAAATTGTCATAAGCAAGGGCTAACCTTCCACGAGACTAGCGAAGCTTCAGTTTTTCGCTCCAATGTGAAAAGGACCCTCTAGTTCTTAATATGGTGATTTTCCAATTCGACTATTATTAATTTATTATGTCCATTCTCACAAAACTGATTTCTCCTACGGTATGCTTTCATTGCTGTACGTTCTTGGAGGACATTGCCTCTGGGCAACTTGGTCCGTCCAACTATTTTCCCCGATAAGAAATAGTCGCTTGAGAGCAAAAGATTGTCACGCTAATTTGTTTCGCTTATCCGCAAATGGACATGGCAGACATCCGCATTCAAATAAGTAGAAATCGACCGCGGAACTGTCGCTTTTCAACGAGGAAGTATCTTCAAATACTTCGATACTGCCGGTAAATATCGACTGTCGATATTCGACCCTCGTCACACCCATGTTTCCAACCCCAATTTGCCTCGAACGCTTGGCGCCTCGACATTTTTATATCGTTGTTTAAACGATAGTCTCAGTGATCGTCGAATGATATATTTCGTGTTATCCCCGTTGTCACCGTTCGAGGGCAAGACGAACAATAGATTAACAAAAGAAAATCTAAAGGTTCGGCTCGTTTTCTGGAAAATTCTGTGTTCCCGTAGATCCTGTAATTTTCGATGCAAACCACCGCTATTGGCATCGATCGGTTGATCCCACACTCTCGGATGTTTCTTTTACTCTTTATTATTTGGCCTTATTTTCCACATACCTCACCCGGTAAACCAGTTGGGTGGTGTTCGCCTTTCTTTCCACGACGCGAAACCTGTATTCAGCATACCACTTACCGCGGCATGCGATTGAATAAGCAACTTTATAAACAGTTAAAATAACATGCAACAAGCGTGTCTAGGAAACCGTAATAAACTCCTTGGGAATTCTAGTTTCTTTTTTCATCTTGTTTCGCGCGCGCAATATCGCACGAATGCCGTTCGATACGACACACGTGCACGGGCACGCACACAAATATCCTCCATTTTTCAGCTCGCCGAGGAAATAAAAGTTCTAAAAAAATGAGAAACGATTTTTACACGTCTACGCTGCTAGATACTGTAAGAAATTTATTTCAAAATTACGATATTCAATTTTTAAAGTCTGATACGCATACCTGTTTCGCCTACCTGTAAACGAAATGTTCTGTTATCTATTATAGCACGACGCGTGAAGAAATTGTGATGACAGGTGAAATATATTCATGGGGTAGCCCCATTCAAGGTATATGGTGCAGGGGATAAAAACATACGAAACAATTTTTGTATTCGCGCAATATTTTCTATCCCAGGACCACCGTTGGACAATGCAACTTATTTTTAATACATTATTTACCAAGTTCGACGTACTACCTACGCGTTCAGTAGAACCGGGACAGGCAACTAGCCCCTAACAAGCATGAGATATTACTTTCGTAAGGTAAGTCGTACATTGAGATATTCTTTGGCAGAAAAGAAGGAAAAATGATTGTTGGAATCTGTGTCGTATCGGGGATCGTGTTGTACGCGAGGCTCGATGTATTGACCTTGCGACGTGCGTGGGACGTGTTGGGAGTAGAACAGGTTCCGTTACACCTTTCAGCGTCCAACATTCCATCGAGCTCTGCCTGGCCATACTCGTTCTTCTTTCTCTTTTTTCTTTTTTTTATACTTAAGGGTGAGGTTATTTCACATTCGCGACCTCCGTGCGGCCGCTGGTCGTCGATGGCCCATCAACAATGGCACCGGGCTCGACGAAAACGGGAAATGAAACTCCGCATACCTTCGAGCGACACTTATATTTGATTGCTTCTTACATTTACAATTGGTAAACACGTCGCGAAATCGAAGATCAGAGATAGGCAAAATTTTTACGCGTATGCGAATTTCAAAATAAACATCCGTTTATCGGTTTCTCGTTAAATAAATCATTTGGAAAATGGCCACAGACCACGTTACGCTTTCAATTATCTGTAAATAAAATAAAATTGTGCTCATCTCTGTCGGTATTGCGATTAGTTCGAATAGTGGACGTAGACGTTCGATTTAGAGTCGTCTGGACGCGGCCTCGGCCTAGGAGAACGTTTGGACTCTCGATTCAACGCAGGCAGTCGTTAATTATTTGTGAAAATAAATGTTCCTAGCGACGCGAAGGAATTTGCAATTGTCTAATAGAATTACTAAATTTAAATTCGACGGAACCTAGCTTCGTGAGCGCTTCAAGCGGCACCGTAAGTCAAAGCGATGACATCTAAGTTTGTAGAAGTTTAAAATTGCTCCACGCGTTGTACTCGTAACAACGGATCGTCTTAGAGTTAAATTGCGATAGTTTGAAAGATGTCTTTCACAGATCGTGTAATCGTTTATGGGGGCGTTAGAACCGTAAAAATCTTATCTCCTACGCTATATGCCGAACATACGAAGAACGAGTGTGGAGTCTCAAAAATATTGCTACGAAGGTAACTTGTTAGTGACGATGCTTTGCGGCAATTCGTGTGTTTAGGAGGCCAGTTCCGTTTCTCTGGACAGGAACCAGACGTTCATGGGTTCCGACTTGCCTTTCATGGTCACGGGTCCCCTGTATTCCAGCAGAAACTGTGGATCCTGGTTCTCGGGCATGCATAAATATCTGCAACACACGAGCAAAGTGTTACATTTATTATGATACTGTGTATTATATTTATTTGAATTGGTGTCTTCATTTATCTTACAACCAAGTTATACAGGGTGGTAGGCCACCTCTAGAAAAATTTTAATGGGAGATTCTCGAGGCCAAAATAAGACGAAAATCAAGAATATCAATTTGTTGATATTAAATCATAATCCAAAGGAGATTTATCAGTTATTCCACATGTGCAGCAAGTACTGTTAGTTGGAAGACTGCAGAACCTCGTCTAAAACAAAACAAAAGATTTGTAATAAAAATTAATTCCGTAAAGGAAAACGCGTCCGAAAACTGTTAGCTTTCCGTATTAACTGGCGGCTAACATTATGTTCAGTGTGTAATTTTCTAAAATTATCGACAATTTAGCATCGAGCTGAATTTCTACCAATAACTTCAGTCAGAACTATCGAGTGACGGGTGACCCCAAACCCATGGGCTCTCGGAATCACATTAATACATTCCCATTAAGAGTACACTCGCGCGGAAAGTGTGCCTGCACAGTCGTAGGCCGCTACGGCGAGAAATATCGCGTAATTTACCGCCGCCAGGACGTTATAAATTCGCTGGACGCTGGAAATCGGTAATTGCCGCGAGCCGACGTTCCCACTTAATTAGGTATGTTTATACACCGTTCGACGGGGGTGAAATATTTACCGCGGCGTCATCGTTACTTTTGCTCAGGGGGGGACGGAACACGGAGGAAGCCATCGAAATACTTATTTAACATCTAATCGAATTAGAGCTCCGTCGTTTCCCTGGTTGTTCTCGGTGTCCGGCCGTCCATTCGTTGGCGAACGACAGCGGTTCGCTGACTCGCCCTCGCAAGATCGGCTCCCGACCGCGAAAATTAGTGCATGTCGTTCGACGAACGTTTCCATTCGATCCCGAAGAGATGGAAGTGTTGATAGACGGTTATTTCGACAAGCTGTTCTCTGAAATGGAGCGCAGTTGCCTGGCCTCGCGATACAAACGTCGCGAGTTGGTCAGCTACTTCTCCGATGTGATAAATAGCTGCGCGGAAGGTAACAATATCCGATTACGATATTGGCGGCATTATATGCGGTTCCAATAAGCCATTTAGCACTCGGTGCCGCGAATAATTACATTCGTAGTTCTACTTCAGGTTCTTCCCGTGTTTCTGATACGCAATTATTAAAGTCGAAGATATTAATAGGAGAATCTCCGGGTTTTACCGTACACCTAACGGTATTTCGGAAGTTCCGGGAACGTTTCGACGCGCCTGTATAGATTTTTCCGATTCAGTGACTGCCAGATTAGTCCAGCGACCCGCTAGAAATTCTATTGTGCGACCATGAAAGTGACTCGATCGAGAATAGCGGAAGGAAAGTGATCCCGCGTAATGTTATACGCGGGAGAAACTTGTGCATCGTCGTCCCGTATGATTTTGCTTTCTTTAAAAAATTATGTAAAACGGTGGTTCGACGCAGCGCGATCGAAAGTATCGGCTCGTGAAAGAAAAAGTTGTCGTCGACCAGTCTACACGATTGCACGCGAATATTCGTATTCTCCATTCGAAGAACATGCAGCGCTACTATCCTTAGATTTTCATCAGATTCTCTCTGGGTTTCCTCGGTGCTGGTATTTTTCACGGTGTCCTGGTTCGATTCGTGCAACCCCGTATTTTTCTATTTCTTTTTCGAAATGTGTAACATGGGACGACGATGCTGAGAAACCAACCTCTGGAAAATATCGGTCTTCTATCTCGCTCAATTTTTGAGATATTGATTACAGTCTCTCGGGAAGCTTCCTAACGTGGAAAGAAACATTCGTTTCAATTTATTTTACTCGTTTATAAAACTAGAAATAATTTAGAAGTTGCTATCTCTACGAAGATAAGATTGACCGCAGATTCGAAATCTAGCAGCGAAGATTACTTAAAAAAATTCCCAACTTACAGCGGAGAACCTGGACAAGCAGGACGTCTGCGAGAGAATAGTGATGTCGGCCCTGCGCTACCACAACATTACCATGATGGAGAACGGCTATGTCTGCATGTTAGGCAAGTTCCACAACGTTTTGTACGTGGCAGCGAAGCTCTGCTTCGACTGGAACCTCGACAACAACGAGATCGTCTCCAGACTACTAAACGACATTTTCTACTGCGAGAAGACCTTCGAGCGGATACTGGTGGGCGCGATCTTTGGCACGCGGGTGACGCACTTCCTGTCTGGCTGGAAGAGCGACTTCGAGGACCGCGAGGAGAACATTCGAGCGTTGATGTATTTCCTGCACCACGCTACGGTTGGACGCCTCGAGTACAGATGCGAGTCGTGTCCCGTGAAGAGGCGTCTGATCGACATACCCATGGAGTCCTATGGCCAGGCGTTGCCTCTGAGGGTGGCCATTCAACACGGTTCACCTGACATTCTTCTGGTGATGCTACGTTACGGAGCCTCGGTAGAACCTGACAATCTGGCTCCAACACCCTTGGAGATGCTCCTGACGAGGCTCAGCGAGTACGACCCTATGCCAGGCAAACAGGAAGTAGTCTATCCCGCACCCTTGCTCCTCTGTCTGAGAATGGTGCTGAGAACCGTGACCACCGCCTTCGTGAAGACGCCCAGTCACATAGCTGACCAGTGTGGGGTCTCCAGCGTCTCCCTGTACGAACAGTACCCGAATCTGGTGGAACAGAACCTGGTACCACCCGAGAGAAGTGGTCTCAGTCCACCAGAACTCAGACACCTGTGTCGTTGTCGCATAAGAGAGACGCTGTTCGAGAACTGGGCCTTGCCTCATGGGATAAAGACCTTGGAGATCCCAGCGTCGCTGAGGGACTACCTAGATATTCTTTGCGACTGATAGTTTTGAGATTTGAGCTCCAGGTGCACGCGATGGGACGCGATGGATATCTCTTGAGACTGATTTAGGAGGTCTTCTATTTCGATTTAGATATTAGAAACGTGTTCCCAAACTATTGGAAGCTTGGACAATTGACACGTCGTGTTCTGATTTTACTACGAAAGATGAATCTCTTCGAATAAAATATTTCGAAGCTACAGGCAGTTTCTAGAATGCCCTCGAAGTTCATTGAAACTGTAATTGAAACTCGACGTGACGTTCCATACGATTCAGCGGAATCAAGTTTCGAAGTTCGACGCACGACATGCGTGCACCGACTGAACGCATCGACCGAAGTGCCTTGAAGTCGTCCAATAACTTTTCACTGCAATTTCATTCCACGGAGCGTTTCGCGTATTATAGAAATCGGCTAATCGAGTTGAAGCAGGAAAAGAACACAAAAATTTTTATCGAGTTGCTGCGCGCGTAATCCAGCCAACGGTGAATTTTTTGACGTCGAAAATTCGCGCGATAAGCGTTGAAACACGAGACAAATACTAACCATTTCGGAATCCTGACTGGCTTGACATTGTTCGTAACAAAATTACGTTTTCGCTTGGATTCAGTAGGTTGAGGACAACTCGCACCAAGTTAAGGGAAAGTCAGGTTCAATAGGTCCGCGATAATTATACGCTGTAATATCCCGAGGCTAATGAATCCTGGGAATCAGAGAAACTCTTTTTTGTATCACGGACGCTTCGAGTTTCTGCATAATGCGTGTGTCGCGAAAACATTGTTATGCAGAACTTTCACGAATATACGCCTTTGTCGTTTAATGATCACAGAGACAAATGGCTGTTGTTTTAATGCGGTGTCTTCGAGGAATCTCACTATTTAACAACATTCTTACGCGTTAGTTAGTGTACACACATTAAATGCCAGAGCTGAAATTGAAATTTCAATCAATTAACTTTAATTTCTGTATACGTGATTGGATCGTTACCTATAGAAATAGAAATTTAAATAAAATTTGCTTCTATCGACTCGTTACATGCGTACGTGGATAATTTTTATTAGTGAATCTTTTATTTTTCGACGTTTCGCCGCTGGAGCGTGCAATAATTATGAAATATTACGACATAGTTAATCGAAACGGGCCGACTGGAATGGATTGCTAGAGCCAAGCGTATAAATCTTTCGAGACACCTGACGCACAGGTAATAAATTTGATTTTCAATATTTTATACGAGTGTCTGCAGACGTTTAATGAATTCGACGTTCGATCTGTCAATCAAGAGAAGTCGATTCTCGCGACGAACGACGGAAACAGTAAAATGCTCTGGAGATCGGCTGTCGGACATTGTAATTGCATCGACACGACTGCTGTTTTGCATTAAATCCTACACCCATCCCTGTGCATCTAATAAATATCCCGGATGGATGTCCGTTCGCGATTCCGCTGGGATTTTTCTGTTTGCTCGTGTAACTGAATCTACTAAACAATTTATTGTCGTAACAATGCCCTGGGACACGATTAGCATGCGTCCGTTGTTAACTCCAGCAGCGCATCGAGTATGAAATACATTTTACTCGGTTGTACAGCGTAGATTATGAATCTCGATTTTGTAGCTCAATTAAGATAACGAACGAGGACCACAGAGGAAATGAAATGTAAACTAGATAAGGTATTACTGATTAAGAGACTCGACGAGAGGAGTTGAAATAATTTGGTTGTATCTGTATATGTACGAATAATGTAATAAAAATAATTTTCTTATGAAAGTTACGATTTTGAAGCCGCTTGAATTTTAAAAACTCCCCAACTTTTCCGATTATCGCGTACGTTGTGAAAATAAATGATTTGCTCTGAAATTCGAACGTTTTAAGAGTAGGTCAGTAGGACTAACCTCGTTCCTTCCGATAATACGTCTTCTCGATAATAGGCTTTCGCGAATTCAACGTTTCAGTTAATCGACGTTTCGATAAATAACCGATGGTGTACTGTATATCGGATCGCAAACAATTAAAGTGGCATGCAGTGTACCGGCATGTTTCTTTATCGATGGGATCAACCTTGGGAAATAATTCAACGTTTCGAAGCGATAAAACAGAAAAAAAACCGTTCGTATATATGTGTTGTTATTCTCAGGTCACAGCAATATTTCCGTTCGACCTACTTGTATCTGCTTATCTGTACATTAAGACCACAAACTGACCATCTCTCATGTCGCCGCAAGAACGTCTGATTATTGATCTTTTTATGCGCTCGAAGTCTCTCAGGCGTTAGTTGCAAACAGTTCAGAGGTTTGCCAAAAGGAATATCGGAGCGCGAAAATGGCGGTGATTCGAAAACAAGGTCGAGCGCGCCATACGTTCTTACCGACTCGTTTTATTGTTTTTACCCGGCGAATTCAAAGATGGACAAAAAATGATACATCTTCTGAAGAAACGATCGTACAAGGTTATATACAAAACATGTTTGTACGAAATAAACCATTCTAAAGATTCCTCTTGTACCATTAAACGATCCGCTTAACAGATTAAGATCAGACACGCTGCGCGCGTGTTTCACGGTTCGCTTAATGGGCGATTTCCAATGCTTAAAATAATCGAGATTGTTTTTTCATTCGATTCTCTAAAAGTATGTATATGGAAAAAGAATGAAATCAATACATCGAGGATTTTTTCTCGCATTGACAAAGGTACGTAGACCCCTAATCTTTGCTTTGAACACTACCTCTAATAGCATAACGTTTTCGAACCGTGGGTAACCGTCGAGTCGAGCCACCGACGTCCGTGTAATTAAAAAACAATTTGAGCCGCTCGTTTGAGTTCAACTCGTTCCGAGAATAAAGTCCCCGATCGATCCTTTCCACGAGAAATCCGACGGTCTCGATTTAATTGCAGAAAGAGAGACAACATTGCGAGAGGGGTAACGACGACAGTAATCTCGTACGAAATATAATTTGTACCTGTACGCATCCTCCGAGACGTTTATTTTTCCAGGCTCGCCGGTGGTCTCTGTGCGGCTGGTGAGGTTCACCGTGTTTCCGAACAGGCAATAACGAGGCATACGGTGGCCAATTACTCCAGTTACGACCTCGCCACTGTGGATCCCGATGGTGATTTTCTGCAAAAGAGTTCGTAACACGATATCAGCGATCGTCTTATGAACGACGGTGCCGCAGTTTCGTCACGTCGATCGCGTTAACGTTGTCTGGCGGAAGCTTTCGCGCAGGAACAGGAAGAGCGCGTTCAGGAAGAAGAACAAGACTCTTTTTACGGATAATCGAATGCGGCCGATCGCTGCGTTTCAAGAGACTGTAAAGTCGGGTTCAATGCACGGAATTATCGAATTCGTTCGACCGCTTCTCGCGCAAGAAACGAAATAAAATTGTTTAAACCACCTTACGTCCTTTGGCGTATAAAAATTGCAAAGTGAGATTAAACCGAACAAAAAGGGTAACGATGCAGTCCGCGGAGGTTCCCCGCGAAAGTTTCGGATAGAAGTTTGGGAACGATCGCGTAAAAAAACACGAAGACTTACCACAGGCTCGCCATCGATTTGCACTTCGTCTGCAGCCAGATCCATCATATCCAGTGCCAAGCGAGCGATGCATCGTGCATGGCAACGACATGGTTCCGGTAATCCGCTCACGGCCATGTATTTGTCACCAACAGTTTCGACCTGGTCCGACCAAAGTGGATCAGTACTAACAAGCCTTCTCGTAAATTCAAATATATCCGTTGTCGGGCGTATAATGGATACCGTGAATCTTAGTTTAGCCTTTTAATACCGCTCCAAAACCGCTATAATCAATATTAATGATATCTTTCTGCAATGGCACAACACTCGTACGCATTATCCTACAACGCGCTATTCGATTGAGATAGCTGCGTCGAGGTCTAAATACCAGTTTAAATTTTTCAATTATAATATAAAGAATATAGAACTTGAAATTTGTAAATTTCAATTCCTACTATTATCGGATGGAAACTAATGTTTGTACCGGTTCAGTCGCGGAGCTGACTAAAAACGAATATGAGCCTGGAAAATCCTTTTATCGCTCCTGCATTCTTAATCCCCTCGCGAATTGAAACGAAAACTTTTGCGCAGTTCCAGTGCCACGCGAAATGAAAAGAACTTTCAACAGGCATAAAAAGTTTCTTTTTCTTTCATTGCTATTTAAATAGCCATTGTCGCGAAGAACGACAATCATTTGTGTTTCCTCCGGCTTGCTTCCAGCGGTGCATTAATGCACTTTAAACGCCTCGCGTTGAGAACGGGGAAACTTTCATCCCGGACGAAAACATCTACCGAAAATATTTCCACGACGCGATTTATTCTATGAACGAGATACAATGTACTCTCTACAAGACGACTTCGAATATATATTAATATATTAAGTAAAATTTCTTTTTGCCCTGTCCAGATAATTTTGCTTACGTCGAAAAAGGCGGAATTCCGGCGAGGTAGTGTCCGACGAGTACAGTGGACCACGATTTCCCAATTAAAGTCTTGCAGTTTGTGTAACTTTTTTCGCGACGCGCAACCTCGCATTTCTCCTGATGGAACGGAGCTCTCCAGCGCGTAACCAAAGCTGGCCGTATTTGCAGTTCTTTCCATTCTTTTTTTTGGCGACTGCGTACGGTGGAATGAGTCGAATTAAGTGCCTCGGCAAATTCGCTTAAAATTACAATTAGATCTTGTTCAACGGTAATCTGTAGACTGTCCACGGCTCTATCGATCTTTCGATTCGAGTTTCTTTCTCTACGTTTCGAGTGTTTAACATTCTTACTGGAGGTTGTAATCGTTCTTTATACCAGGTCGCGGAAATGTATTTTATTTGTTCACGTGCGAGTAGACTTCGATAGATGTTTACCTTATAGACGTTGGGATTCTTTTTTGGATCTGTGAGCACGTCGAACGCGGTGTAGAGTTGATTGAGCATGTTGACGATCTTCATGGCGCCACTCGAGTCCGTGTGAGCGGCGCAGTAAGCCCCAAAACCGACAATTCCGGAAAACAGCAGAGTCACGCAATCGTACTTCTTCGCTGGAACCGGCCTCGAATGCCTGAGCTCGTTCGCCACGGAAATGGGCAGCACCGAGTACAGCAACCTTGCGGGGAACACGCAAAACTTTTAATGGAACTTCGTTTAATCACGGAACGAGCCTAGCGACTCGCTAATTTCGTTCGCCCCTTAAATCATGAGATCGGTCCGATGGAATTACTTTAACGAGCCAGCGAAACAGATCTACCCGTTTCTCCCTTCTTTCGTTTACTACAGTGCTCGTTTATCGAGACCGCTTCAGAGATTTATTCACCGTTCAAACTCGACGAAAAGAATATTTACTATATCCATAATTGTGTTCGGCTCTGACGCGTCTTTGATATTTTTATTTCCGGAATTCCGTAACGAGACCCTCGAGGCCCATCAGTTTCCATGTGTTCGATGTTTGTAAATCCAATTAGACCTTTCGAGACGTGCCCATTCGTTGTGTAAAATGGGACACCCTGTATTTACTACCCCCCAGCCGTTTTCCAGACGGTCGCGGTCGTCGAAACGAACGGAGTTCAAAGGTGGTGCCCGATGAAAAAAGCAGGATCCAATTTCCGGCGGGGAAGAGTATCTTGTCAAGAAAGAAATTCCGAGGCGAAGGAAAAGTCGACTACCCCTCCCGGCCGCGCAGAATCACGCCAGGATAAATGGCAAACGAGGCCAATGGGGATTTCCTTAATCAGGAAATTACGCCGACGGAAATCCTTACCTGTCGGTCTTCTGCTTCTCGCCGTCAAGTTCGCGATACGTCTGCTGCAATTTATCGGTAAGCAATTCCAAGTTCCTCGTTAATTTGTAATCAGCCTCGAATTGCTCTGACATCAGAACGAGATCTCTGGTGGCGTCGTGAAGAGGGACGTCGCTCAAATACAAACCCCGTCTGACGACCAGAGACATGAAAAATAAACAGATCAATTTTTTAAGCAGTATCGATTCGAAAAATACATATTCCGAATGGTAGAAATTCGTGGAAAATGTACATGTTAATATTATTCGGAGTAAGTGACGTTAATCGCTTAGATTAAATGTAACGATACAACGAACCGCTCCAATTATAACAATCGATATAACTCACCAAAATTTAATTACAAAAAAAATTCCTATCGGCGTTCCAACCCTTTTCAGGTTCTGGAACGCAGCCAAAATATTTGTTACAATTAAATTTTAATTGTTTTTTATTGATCTTAATAACTGGGTCAATTGAGTTTGCCGACGTGTTGACCAAACAAATTGGAAATATTCAATGCAATCGGTTATGGAAAATTTATCGATTCTGGTGTTGTTTGGTGGATTATTTTCGAAGAGAGTCAAGAAATTTGATTAATTTTGCAGCTCGAAAGTTTTCAAGTAGTTCTTAAAAGATTATAAATACACGGAAAACGGACGCAGTCCATCAGGATGTACAGACAGATTTATAGACTAGAATAGCGGAGAACGTAAACGAAGGGCCCCGTCTGCTACATTATTCATTGCATATACTATTATTTTTATGGAGCAACAAAGATGTTGATATTATCGTTGCAATTGCTATTTAAAAATTCGCATAGCATTCGTAATTCGGGAACATGCATCGATTTAATATTCCAGTTCTAATTAGAACACGAGAGCTACAGCCTCCTATTTTGATCGCACATTTGCATATCGAGGTAATAAATAAAATTTGATTATTCCCTGCTTTTGGTTAAATCGTTTGAAGCACGATGCGATATTTATAACTTCCCATCAAACATCGTCGTTAAAAATGCAGCACGGTATTCCCTGACAGTAACACGACCTGTTAATCATTCGCATATCAAATCCGGTATTCGATCATTTTGGAATAACTAATTCACCTTTTCCCATCGATAACAGGGAGAGAACGAAGCTACGCAATAACGCGGTACAATAATTTCACTTACATACACTTGGGACACGCAAAACTGGGAAATGAAGCGCGCAGAACGAGAATCGACGGATCGTGACCAACGTGGGAATACGGAAAATATCGGTTACACGAGCGAAAATTTAAAATGATCGTATTTTTACTACGTGCTGCCGCTATGTAAATTAGGCCTGGGACTATTCGGTTCGGCAAGTTGAATAATCGACTTGGCCAGGCCTCGTGTTACTATATCAACTCACCGATGTTGCTTTCATTGAATTCTGTCGTATTCTCATCTGTCAGCCGATGCAGTGAATTTTATCTGCTCTTTAACTTCATTTGTTCGTTAAAATCCAACGTAAAAATACATGATTATCGGGTAGATTTTCGAGTATTCAAGTGCAGGGAAATTTGACAGTAAGTGCCGCCGATGTAAATCCATTCGTAGGCGTAACTGTCGTCGACGCGTCTAATTTAATGCTCGCAGGACGTCATGGGGTCCTGTTCGCGGCACAAAAGAAAGTTATCGCAGTAAACAGGTAGCGTAATAGGAGCTAACTCAATTAAGAGCTTTAAATTTATCCGCTAACTACCTCGACGCGCTTCTGCTCGAATAAATCCCCGCCAACTCTAACTACAGTGGGAATTATCTGGGCGTTAATCGTCGGCCATAGAAGAGCGACGAACGCTCGAGCGAACGCGCAAAAAGCTGTAGCTAGCGATGAACCAATTACATGATCGAATTTTCAACGTCGGTGTACGCGTATTCGCTCGTCGAAACGAGACACTGGGGGCGCAAACCAGACGGAACGAAGAATAAGAGTTGCGGGGGTAGGCGAGGAATTAATGAAAATTACAACGAGAACGACACCGGGGCGAAGATTATCCTCGAACGGAGGCAATTTTAAACTTTAGAAGATCATTTTTCTCTGTACCACGATTACTGGAACACCCTGTATGACTCGAGAAGAATGATAGGAATTAAACGAGCTACTATTCTAGCGACTGTTACCATTGAATGGCCCGCTATCATCGTTCTATCGACGACAAATATTTTCCGCGCATAGACAGGGGATATATTACGATGAATTAATAGGCAGAGCCTACTTACCGCAAAAACACGTTACGTCGATTTACGATAACGACCTGGATAGAGTGCCGCGCATAAGTCTGCTGTCATGGCGTCACGTTTCGTTCTCTCCCGTATTTCTTAGCGTTCGAAGCCAGATACTTCTGATCCGCAGGGGAAAGTTTCCAGCCCGAGAATCGTGGAACGATTTGCTTCTTTCAAATCGGATTGGCAATTAAGCCCTGGAACCGAGCTGAATACTGATAGCTATTTCGTTTACCCGATCACGCGTTATTCCTCAACCCCTGCCTTTGTTTCTCGCGTTACGTTCGCGGATACAAGCTCTTCCTTGCGTCGATTGTAAGAATCTACTTTTACTTGTCCGGGAAATACCTTGTACAACGTTAGGAGCCATTTTACTCAAATTAATCGGTATTAAATGCTGTGTAAATCTGAATGCCTTTCCGCAAACGTTCCATAAATCACGACAAGCCACCTCGTTACAGGAATTAAAATTTATTTTAGAGCACCTAGGACTCTGAGACGTCAATTTGAACGTTGGATAGAGTGAAATCCGACTGACAAGAAACAAGAATTTACCAGCAACAGCTTCGGTACGCTATTACCTTATCGTGTATCAGAGTTAAGAACGGTAACAATGTCCTCCATCATTTATAATTTAGACGAATGATCGCGTAGGGGCAAGCTGGGAAACACGTCGTGTTGCATTCTTCGCGATGGCCATTTGTTTACGTCGATTTACGCCGCCTCGTCGACGGTTTTACAGGTTTCAGAACGTTGAGCGCGAAACGCGCTGATCGACGCGTTCGCGCGTTGACCGATCGTTGCAACGGGAACGTGTTGTTTACGCTGATTGAAATTCGATTTAGTAACTATTCGACGATTGAGGCGTAGCGCGGTTTAACGTGCCCCAACAAATAGTGAAATTAATCCGCGTAATGCTCGTTATTGCGACACGCCTGCGAGGGAATTTTCAAATTACTGCTCATTTGGTAGGATTTCGGTGAGCGCATAAATACGCGATTATGTTTCCACCGCCCTCGATTCTATGTCGACAGTAATTCAATATTTGTACGGCTCTTTGTGCTCGAAGCAGCACAGCATTTTAAATTCAATTAAAAATAAGCTTAAATAACGTAGACTGTACGGTGGACGAAATGTAATAATACCGCTCGAGAATCTCACCTGGTCAGGTCGTCCAAATTCATCACGCTGGGATAGCATAGAAAGATGACTAGATCCGACTCGGGAATGTACAACATTTGTCCCTGAAACAGCAACAAACTTGGTCGTGACAACGGTACGTGTTTATGCATAAATGCAGCTAGAAATTACACCCTGCAGCGTACATCTGCATCAGAACACCAGTACTAACTTTCAAGCGCAGACACGAGTACTCTTCGGTAGCGTTAACTCGCATCACACCCTTCTTCGTTCGCAGCACGTACACCGTGTTTATGTGGGACAATATGTTCTCGAACGTTAACTCTAAATGCGGCCTGACCTGCGAGAACAAAGCTGCAGGTTTATTTAAATGCGAGGCGAACGGACAAAAAATGATTGATTATTGTTTCGTCTAATGTCCACGGGTACATAAATATCAATGAAACGCTAGTGATACAAGGAGTACACGGTCGTGTAAAATGTATGGAGATGGTGTAATTAAAATTGAAATATGTGAAGTGCGGTTTCGAAAACTTTAATCAGGAAATTTTGGTTTAAATGGAGCATCACGTTCCGAACGATCAAAGGTAATAGACGAAGATGATTTACAAGCGGTAATTGCTATAATTAGTCGCATCGCTTCTAGAGAGTTTGTAATTAAGTTTAGCGTGTCTCAAACATCCGCTGTTGATCGCTCCATCGACTTCGCATAGTTGCGAAACGCGATGTCTGCTTTCCCCACTCGCCGAATGACAGAAACAAATTGAGTCGGGGGGTAAAAATGTGTTTCGTTGAGAAATCGATAGGCAACGGGCGCCATTTTCCAAATCAATAGATACTTGTGACGGTAAACAGATGATTTATAATGATGGCACTCGAAAAAGTCACGGTAAGAACCGAGGAAAACATTTGTACCTATCTTGAAGGAAGTTTTTCGTCAGAAAAAGTTCTTTGTTTGATAAATATATAGATTCAGTACCATTTTACTATACTATATACCGGGATCGTTGAAACCCCCATCTAAATGGGAAAAAATTTGAAAAGAACTTTCAAACGTTGGAAATGTTTGAAACGATATTCACGAATATTTCAACATCGAGGAATTTAAATTTCTTTAGACGGATCGAAAGCTCGTGGAACGTTGTGAAAGAGTAATAAAAAATAATGAGGATTATATCGAGGTTAGGCTTGAAAACAGTTATAATTCTTTACAGAGTTGCGCAACGAAAACTTTAAATGAATAAATTATTCAACCGTTCAATTTCATTGAAATGAAATATAACAAAAAAATTGTATCATTTGACGCTTGGAACCCTCGGAGCTTCCGTGTTGCAATTTTTCGAATCCCTTAATGCTCGGGGATTTCTTAAGATCTCGACGGTGAATTTCAGAGACGACGACAGGGGAATAATAATGGGCGGATAATTGATTATGCTCGCGAACGCATGCACAAGCAGCTATGCAAATGAAGTCAAATGGTTCTGTTCCGACGGTGCGTGTCATATCGTTTGAAACAGACCGCATTTGAAAGATATATGATCGCGCGCGTACGAATCCGCATGAATTATATCAGCCAGTGGCCACGACGTGTCGGACAATAACGTAATTTCGTGGCCCACGCTAACTAATGCGGCATTCCGCGAAATAAAACACGATTATCGATTCCTCGTTGCTCGTTATACGAACGGTCCACCCACGTAATTGAAATTAAAGTGATTTTTGCGGTGGACCTACGTTGTAACAATGGCAGAGAGAAGTTTTGTATGGATGATCATAATTATGGCGTAGATTCAGCACCGGGAAAACGCCGGGGATGTTTTGAATTGTTGTATCGCCGTTATTACAGCGATAAAATTACGTGTACGGCAGGGAACAAATGTGTACTTTTTACTTTGATTCGTTGGTGGTGTAAATGAAATTGGACACTAAAATAGCATGGACATTTTCTCCAGCTTTCCAACATAGGAATCGTTCGTGAAATGATTTACACACGGAAACGTGGCCTTAGATAGCTAAGTAAAGTTTAATCCAACCATAGTAGTTATCAGATAAAGTCAAACAGTTTCCTTCAACTTGTTGTAACTGGAAAGATAAAGCTAGGAAGTTCTGTGTTCATACAACGCTCTTTCCTCGGCTTTTGATCTAGATGTGCACGTTGAAGTACCGAAGAAGATTAATCATCGTGTAAACACCCTATGAGAGGCACGAGTCACCGTGAGAACAAAAATAAAAGATGAAATATTAGAAACTCATTGGTGCAAACCTAGTCCACGTCGATTTGTTAATATTAGAGAGTCAATTTTTATTCTTAACGGTTCGTGAGTCGGATTGATAAATTGTTGAAACTTACGGTCAGAAGAATGTCGTTCAGTTTGCAATTACCAGAGCACACTTGAGGTATGACACGAGTTATGGTGCATCCGGTTTGAACTATGGTGAGGTCTTGGTCGAACATCAGGTGAAACGGAAATACTCGGCAGAACGTCATTGGGCTCACTTTTGGTTCTGTAGCAGATTACGAAACAAAAGTTTCACAAAAACTATCTTTTGTTGTTAGAAAAACAGAATTTCCGTTCCTTTTTTGTTCGATTAAAACTTTTTACGAAGATTCTGTTTTCAAATGTTCATTTTAACAAACGTATCGAATGTTATGTTCGCTCACCCACGGACAAAGTCTCCAATTCAGCGATCATGGGATTCGAAACGACCCCCGGACCGGACGTGTTGGTTATCAGAAATTGCACGTGATCGCACTCGTTCTTCGTCTTCAATATCCGCATCTCTATGTCCGTGCCGTGAAGCTTTTTCGCCACGGTCTATGGCGATGAAAGTTATAACTCGTTTAATCGCGGTTCGTTTCCGCCTGAACGAATTTGTTACGACGAAAATTAAATAGCGAGCGCCTGTCCATTCGACTCGGGTTTAACCGGAGCCAACAAAAACGTGTATCGCGACCCGTAATATTGACAGAAATATCGTTATTTCAGAGTGCCTGTTGTTCACGTAAAAGTCAATATACGTAGTCAATCTTATCCCAATATTTTTGGTGAAAATTGTATAATGTATTTTGTAACTATATTATTACAAAATGGCAAGTACGAGGCGATAATCACCGTTCCATTTTACCGGTATTAACACTAAATTCTCGGACCGCGAAAGCCTCGAACAACCCATAAATAATATTATCTACCAATATTATCTAACGGAAATACGTTTGAGGACTGTTGGTCCACAGTCTTGTCCAGCGCGACAATTTTCCTAAAATACCTTAACGATGCCAATGACGATATGCTCCAAACCAGGTCGATCGGAGTAATAATGCAATATGAGCGCACCATCCTCCGGTCTCTCTGTGCATCGGAAAGAGGGTGCCCTCATTCCAGGGTACAAAGTGCCTAAATGATCGTGAAGGGCGTCCAAATTCTGTAATTAAACGTCACCAGACTCTCGTTAAGCGGACGGTATATTGAAACTAACGAAGCACGTTATTTCATCAGACGCGAAAGGTGTCTCGCCCGTACCCCGGCCCCAACGATAACATTTTATATTTCGACCAGGCGATTCGAACCTCGTGATCGAGTATCACGGTATCTGTTAACTAGTTATCGAGCGTGCTATTAATTTCGATAACGACACACGGTGCGTGGAACGCCAACGGTAGAAACGTAAATTATCTAAGTTCGATACGAGACAAGAACAAACTGTCCGCACGTGACACTTGACTCGGGGAGAACCGGAAATGAAACCTCTGCGGAAGAAAAACGCCACGATGGTAATCTCGTTCCGCGACGGCGTTCCATTTGCTAATCGCATTGCGCGCGTTCATCACGACAGAAGTTTCTTGTTACGCGCGCGTGATTTTATTCAATGTTACACTCCGCTCAAATGCATATTTCGCTCTTTTTACTTCAACGCGGTACGCTTTCCACAAACGTGTTCCGACATTTCACTCGTTCGAGGAAAAAGAAAACATCTTTCTTGTTTCCGATTCCGATCTTACGATCGAATTGATAGTCTCGCGAAAATATACACAGCTTTGTTTGAAAACGATGTTCAAATTTATCTTCCGAACGACTGAGAAAAAATCGGGGTCACAGAGTTTTGTATTTTCATATTACTCGTTATACGTTCGAGGCAATATAGCGAGGACCACTCGTCAAACACGTACGATTGTAACTAGTTCGAACGAGATCGTGTTTGCACTCAATTTCATCGGGAGAACCTCGTTGGTCCAATAATATTGTAATATTCCTACTAAGATATAATAACAAATATAAACACTTTAGTTTTCAGTAGTGGATGAAATTCGATTTCACTCGCGATCGAGGAAACGTAAACAGCGACGAGTGTATTTTCCATTTTAGTCAACTGGGAAAATAAAAAAGCGGATAGAGGAGTAAAATTTTTATCCGTAGCACGCGACATTTCAATTCTATGCAATAACTAGTTTTTACCGTGTTCCACGTTTTAAATTCCGACGACATTGACTGATAAAGAACCTGAATGCCGTTTTAAAACAAAAGCCACGAGAATTCAGCCGTTTCGTACGAACGAGAAAATTCGGCGCGAGCCGGCAATAACGTCGCGCTCGTATTCCGTCCGCGAGAACGAGTTTACGCGCTTTTTGTCCAATTACTCAGCCGCACGTTGCGGCAATCGGCGACCCGTCCGTCGCGTTTCCTTGGGTTTCGTATCCAGCGTTTAGAAATGCATCGAAAGCGTTGCACGAGGAATGCTCGAATGAGAATTCCACAGGTTCCAGTCTGCAGGTGTGTGTGCAGAGATGGACACGTTCGAATGATTTCGTATGCGAAATATATCTGAGGTACGCAACGTAGGTATTCGGTGATTCTTAATCGTTTAAATTCGCGACACAGTTTTCGACTGACGGCACAATTTAGGCAGAAGAGGCCATATTTCGTACCGTCTCTGTGCTCGTGGGTTCGAGGAATGGACGTAGAAACAAATAAAAGACAACGAAGCGTACGTTCGCGAAGAATTATGGTCGATCTGGCTACGTGTCATCTTTCCTGAAGACTTTCACTGGCAGACCGCGTGGAAACGGAATCGCAAGAATCTCGGAGTCGGTGGCCGCACGCGCGTCGCCCGAGGTAATCTTATTTCGCTCGACGCGAAAGTGAACGCTCCAACGACACGTCAACGCGCGATTTACCTGCAAGAAGTCCCTGGGCGTAGCTCCCAGCACCTGGAGGATCTTGTCGTACCCGGAATCCTGACAGAACTCGAAGAACATCCGCCCAAATAGCTCCAGTATCTCGTTGGCTGGGATATCTGAGGAACACGCGATCACCTCGTTCGGGTCTTTGGTGCATTTCGAAATCGTCGATTCGATTAAAGTTGAGCACACCGTTCCCCGTAGAATATTCAATTCCACGCGCATCGCGCGCCTACGTAATTTCAAAATGACTTTGCACGCGACGCGCAAATTCAAGGAAGCGAACGTTTCTTCGCTGAAACTAGCGTGAAGGATATTGTGTTGGAAAATTTCTAGATTTTTGTAAGTATTCAAACTCTACGAATAAGATTAAAATAACGACGTTTGAATATTACTGCCGAAATATCAGCAGTCAAAGAGGCTGACGGTTAATAAGCAGGAATTTTATTATCCAACAAAGTAACGACCTCAAGCGCTCGCCTAGGTTGCGCAAAGGATACTTATGATAAAAAGAAACCGATGGAGATCCGAAGAATATGGCATGGCTGACATAATACCGAACTCGAACCCAATGGAGCTTTTATGGGAAAAAGCTCCATTGTAATATCCGATTTCACCATCCGACGTCGACGCGTTTGACGACTGCTACGAGGAGCATGGAACAATATAAAATAAGAAGTGGTTGAAAATTTCATTGCCAGGGTGGAATGTGTCTGGCCATCGTTAAAAATAAGGGTGCCATTTGCGGTGAAAGGGCAATTTAAATCTCCCTGGGAAAGAATAGAACAAAATTGTCAAATTTCCATGCAAAGATCCTGTTTTTTCTTACTCGTCCAGTGATTCATAATTTTTGGCCAGTGGTGTATGTAGGTCGAACGTTTTCGCATTTCGGTGAATATTTGACCGGATTCTGGGGGAGTCAGAACCAGTAAGGAAAAATTTGGAGTTAATATATAGGTCACTGATTCATTATTTAAATGGATAATGTATCATCGAAGACCATTATTGCTTGACCTTAATGACACATCCAAATCAAGGAAGCTACTATGAGAGAATTCGTATTGGGAACACGATTAAGCATTCGAAACTCTGGTCAAGAATTCCGAGAGTATAGCCACGCCTTCAACGTACTATTATAGTAAATTTATTGATGTGTTAAAGATGGGACCTGTCGAATATCTGAACAGTTCGGTAGTTTAATAATAACTGTTACGTGCAGATACTTCGACGATTCGAGAAAGTGAACGAAGAATGGGAGAAGAAAGGGAGTTAAGTTTCGTTCTAAATTCGACACTGAATTCGACGATAAAACTGGATCCGTGTTATAGACGCGGCAGCATTCAGTATTAGGGCAAAGTGTGTATGAAATACATAGGTGGTCCTCCTTCGCTGAGATCGCCACTTTAGCGGCTAGAATGGGCCTAAGGCGAGATGAAAGCAGCGAAGAAAAGAACGATGAGAAAGTGAATCACGTTTCGTCTCGAGCCTGCTATAGCGGGGACAGACACGATTGGCCTCTAAAATTCACTTCCCGGATTTTGTGTCGCGTGAAACACTTACTGTTTTTATGCCACGTCGATTTTCCGTGTGTATTTATTCGTAAAATTAATATTCCTGAAACGGTACAAAGGGTTGCTCAACTTTAATCAACTTTCTCGAACTGCGACATTGGAATAACAAATTCCTATTAACGTTAAAAATGTACGTACTGAGCCGATTGACAGCAGCTGATATAATATTGTACGTAATTTCGTCGTCGTAGATCTGGCGAACCAGAAACTGGCCGTCCATGTTAACCGCCGCATCTTTCCTGCATTAACAAACAAATAAACATTTAATTTTGCTTAAATGTAAAGTTACAGAAGCGTAAGGAAAAGACACGTTAGAAAGTTACGTAGAAACATAGAACACACGTGCAGCTTTTCATCGAAAGGATTAGATCGTTCCGTAGATCTGGGACTACAAGTTATTGCTCGAGGAAGGAATTATGGAACTATATCGATGTAATTGGTAAGGATCTTGCGATAACACGATGTGTGGAACGACCTCGAACTTAAAGAAAGGAGTATCGAATTTATCGAAGTTTCTAAAACCGTTTCGCATTATTATGCTAATCGGATAACAACACTTGGCACTTTCTATCGACTGTGTAAACGTTCTAATAGATGAAAGTATGATTATGCAATTAGCGAAAGGATTGTTTACCGCGTGATGGTGTTTCGTCTAAAAGGAGAGTGTCGCAGGGAAATTAATTACTCGGTTTGACGCGTCGGACAAAGTAAATACTTCCTGTCTGGCAAAAGCCGAGTATTTTAACAGGTTGCTAAACCCTCTTCGCGGTTTCTATTGAGTTTACCAAGTAAGGCTGAAAGCCACTTCAGCGTTTGACATGGATATGAGCTGTCACGCCGCGCGCGCGCCTCGACTTTTTCCCTGCAATTTTTCGAGACCTCCTGTATCCAAATGAAAACAGGAATTCAACTCGAACAGGCCACGAAAATAATTCTTAAACGATTCGTACGAATGTTTATTCACTTACAACAACCGCCAGAAAATATTACGATCGACGTAAGAGTTTATTTTTAGTACCAAAGCTTCAGATTGAAGGTGTATTTTGTTCTAATTTTTGAATCGTCGTAATAATTTGAAGTTTTAAAAATATCCTGCATCTTAAACGTCGTGCAAAAGTTTTTGTATTTCCCGAGACGGACGAATGGGATCTCTGGAATTAAATCACGGAATTTGTAAGCACGTCGGCGACGAGCTGCCGTGAAACGTCATTTAGAACAGCTAAAGTGACCCCTCTTGGGCGAGCTTTCAAGAGTCATCGTCATATCGTACTCGACAGAGGTAACCCACATTTTCGTGTCTCTGGTGTGCATTTCTCGCAAACAACAGTGCCCATATCAGAGTTTGTCACGGCACGGATTAATTATTTTACTTGGACAAAGAGATCGCGTAACCTACAGAGCCGTACCTACGACTTTATTATCAAAATTTTCGCGCTTAAAATAATTAATTTTAATTTCTAATCGAGCTCCGTCCACTTTAGAAATTTTTTTCTAATAAAAATAAATATCTTCAATTTAATAAGTAGAAACCCGCGTATTAAATATAATGGGGTTGACTGATAACGCTGTGAGCGTTTTCTAGATGCATTAAACCGTTAAAGGGTTAATATCTGTTTTACATGCAAAGATTGCCCGAAGATAAGGAAAGCACTTTAGATTTTCGCAGACGAGAAAATATCCCGACAGCGAAATTGTTTTTTATTTCAAATTAAGGACACTTGTATATCATGGAAAGTATTAAAACCGTATTTTTTTTTCTAATCTTTGAAGGGGTGATAATGATGCATGCAATAACATCGAGAAAATACGTGCATCGTGTCGACTACTTAGAAAAGTAGTTTGTTAAAGCAAAAATTCCCGGTGTAAACAACTTTCTTTAGCGTCTGTCGAATAACGCGGATAGATGGACGTGTTTATGGTCGTATTGCACCCAGCAGGGAAAGAGCATCACGCTGGAACAACGTCGCGGAGTGCAATTACTGCGCAACGACGGAAAATCGAATTGGGAGGGTTCCCAAGAAGCTTGTACCTGCACTTAGAACATCGACTTGTACTTGTTATCAAACTAGCCAGTGTGTCGATCCTCCTTCTATTTTCCTAGCAACTATTACCACCTATGAAGTAATTATTAGATACGATAAAAAAAGAGCTATCGTATTTCACGGGGCTTGCTCGTAGATTCAAATAATCTTCTTGGTTTGACTTAAGAGCTTTAAGAATCGTGCTCGCGAGTCCAACTAATGAAACGAAACGAGAATGAGGCTCCAAGATATATTTATTCTTGCGAAGTCCATAAAAGGACACTGAAAGCATATTTCTGTCTACAATGAATGTTCCATAAGACCGTAATTCTTCTCTCTGCTTATTGTACCACAAGTACAATACAGTGCGACTCTTGATTATTTACCGTGATTCACACGAATGCTCGTAGAAAGCTTTTTCTTCCGTAACATTTAATTTATCGTACATACGACGAGAATTAATACTCGCGTTAAATGAAACATTTCTTCATTGCTCTATTTACATAAATATCATTGTTAGTTTCCGCTACTCTGTCGACCAATGCGCGGTTTTGTAATATTCCAACATCCGAAACGCGTTACACGGCATGCATAAGAATTCTCTCGTAATTTTGCGACCATCCCCGCAAATGAAAACCATACGAACTTCGTCTGCTTTCGCGTACCGTGTTTTGAAAGTTTGAATATTACAAAGCCGCGTTTCGCTCGATAGCATACCGCGGTGAAATAATAGTATTCATAAATTCAAATAAATAGAAAACGTACAACGCGATTGGATGCTTGTTTACACACTATGATCCGTGCTGCGAATACGAGATCGATACGCCAGAAACGAGACGAGATACGAAAGCGTTTTGATCGATTGCACGAATTATTGTTCATCGTAGTTGTGCATCGACGGCCTCGATTGACCTTTAACGATCATTGTACGTATCTTAGAGTGATCTGCTGGAAGAAAGTTGTTAGGATCTATGATTTAGAAACGCGTCTTGCCAGATGGCGTGGGCTAATTTTCTTTTGTTATATTCATTGATCAAAGGAACTTCTTGCAAGCATACAATACGCAGCTGTGATTTGAAAGCGGTCCATAAACTGAAATAAGCATTCTAACTCTTGGAAAACTCCAGTTACCCCCATCCCATGTCCACTTAAAGTTTCACCCACGATCTATCGCATCAAGTTTCAACGTCCTCAGACATCACTTTCGGTTGGCCGAATTATACTCCCTCTCACGCAATCGCTAACCCTCGTTAACGACCACCGTCGATCGTCGATCGTCGTCGCTGCTCTGTGCGGTCGCAGGAGCTTCTATTCCGGACAATTTGCCTAATACGAGAGTCGTGAAAAGCGAGGGACGCGGCAATAGAGACTCGAACTTGAGATCTCGGGTCAGAGATGAGCAAAAGTTTACTCGAATGACGGACAACCAATAAGACCAACCACGTAGCAATTTATACGCGACGCTTATTCGACGGAGAACTTCGTGCAGAGAGCATTTCAAAACGCAGAATCGAAAACGTTTCGCGACTGCTTTCTCTGGAAATTTATCATTTAGTTCGAACATGGTTGGGCACGACCTGAAATCACGTAGAACTCGTGCTCGTGTTTGAGAATGTTTCGAGCAGAAAGAATTGTCTTTGCTGAACACGTGCCCCTTCCGATAACTCCGTGCACTTTACTGCCAAGAAGAACGTTTACAGCGCATAAAACTGCCTTACGAGCCAGTTGGCTGAGCCTGTTCCTTTTCGTTCTTTTCTTATAGATTTCGTGGATCACGAGTTTCGCGAAGTGGTCTCGCAATCTCGGTAGAAAACTCGAAAGCTCCCATTGACTACCGGACGAGAAATTGCGACCGAGTTCCACGAATAAAAACAACCTGCGACAGAAGTTCCGGCGCGACGTTATAAAAACGTTCGTTCGTCGCGAATTACGCTTTTTACGATTTCCGTCGCGTGTACCGCGAGCCTGTAATTCTGTCGAATCCATCGGATTTCTACAACGAATACGTTCCGCGATAATCCCGATACGCTACGTGCAAATTTTATTTCTGAATAATGAATACAAATTTTAGATTCGTTCGTGGGAATTGGTAAAACGGATGTTTCCATTTTTAATGTATACCATTTAAAACCAAAACGTCACTACATACTAAACAAACTTACCTATTAAACAAATTAAGTTTCGAAACGATATTGCAAGACGGTCGAGAAGAAACACGACTCGTAACAAGATTCCTTGTAAACGGTAAACCATTTATGCAGGTCGTTCGATGCAGGATTTAAGGATTCGCTCCGTGAACAAACACCCGGAACGCGTGCCAATATTTCGACGACCTGTCGTTGAATCAATACGCTCGGAGTATCGTGTAAACAAAAGTTTATTACGCGAACTTGTTGATCCGACGAAGGGACGGAAATAAAGTTTACCGTGGCTACAGTCCTTTCTGATTCCGTGACTAGGTTTGCTCTTTTTAAAAAGCAGATCAAGATGAAATAAGTTTATATATTTCTCAACGAACGTTGAGAATTATTGAGAAGAGTATACATTAATATGGATGAAACACTCTTGAAGTTGTGTAATTTTGTTGGAAAGTATGGAGGCAAATTGCGTTTAAATTTATGTTGTTTACAGTTTACAGAGAGTATTCTAGAAAGAAATAAAGATCAGCCGTGGAAAGAATTGCGAGCAGTATTGTGCCTGACGTTTTACTCTGGCTTCGTAAAACCTGCAACTGATCATGAATTACTAGAGCGAACCAAAAGTAGACATTAAGTTCGTTATTGAATAAAAAGTCTAATAAATAAGACACAAGTGCTCTGAAAAGTTCTTTACGCTTTTATCACGAAAATAAAGCAGTCCTAAAGATACGCGTTGAAGAAAGTCTAGGACCCATTCGAAACATCTTAAGAAACCTTAAAATGTTCTTAGAGCTTTCGCCTATAAAATGAAAATCGTTCAGTATGTTCTCAACCTTTAGAAATGATTGTGTTGGAAGGTTTACGAGCATCAGCCTGCGTGATTGTGCTTGTGAAGCTGTGGACGCCTTTATGGAGGGTCGATGCGTAGTAAGAAGGTTATTGAGGCTCAAGGGGGCATTAAGGAATCATGAAGAGACATTTTACGACGAGTCTTTAAGAAAAGAATAGGGCACTAAAGGGTATACGAATCGTAAGTGTGGAACGAGCAATTGTCCTACAACGAATGGTATTTATGAAATGGCACTGATTCTAGTGAACTTTACCTCGGATTAAGACGATAGTAAAATTTAATATTCGATATAAAGAATAGAAATATAATAGTGAAGTCCATGAATACGTAATTTGTTTCGGAATTACAGTCACGTCAACCAACTTTTATTCGTTTATCTAGGTGCATAGAGTTTCAAACACTTTCAAGTTTGTAGCTGGATCATTATTCATCTTCCATCCTATAAACTTGAATTGATTTTCCTCGTGTTTCTTTCTGTTGTTACAGAAGTAGAAAACTCTCGATAATAAAATACGTCGACGTATGTTCGTTCAGCCAATTTTCTAAAAATTTCCTCGCCCCCGATCGAAACGAATCGTAAAAAAAACGCGCGCGCATTCAGCCTTGCACCGAGACCGTCGAATCAGAAATTCAATCGTTTCTGCGACTCCGATTGGTCGTAAAATTCAATATAAATTCCGTGGAGCGCAGAGGGACGTAGGCGAGTCACAGAGGTGGTTCGGTGAAATTTCAATTAAAGAATCCGGGGGATTCGGGTCACGGATGCATCGAGGTTCGCTGTACGCGCCGCCACGCTGCAGGGGAAATAAAGCTGCACGAGCATGGGTACGCACCACGTGGCGTAGCGTCTTCTGGCGGTCAACTAAACCTCTGCCCAAACGCCGTCTTTTCGAACGAATCTATTCCAGGATTATAAACAACGAGGGTGGAAAGTGTCATGCAGGAAAAGGGAACTGCATACGCGGGAACAACAAAAGCCAGCGGGCACAAAGGGTCGAGCGAGTCGGCGCGAAACCCACGCGCCTTCGTTTTACCTACTTTATCGCCTCCCACGTCTCGCTGTCAAAGGTCCTCACAACCAGCAGCTCGAGGGCGTAATTCACAAAACCGTACTGCACAGAAAACAGAAACAGTGATGCTATGCGTCTGCGATCCACGCGTGATCGGGATCGAAACCGAGAACTGTCGCGGTGTTTGCTCACTGATCGTCATTAATGTCCGCCTGTCAACCGATCCCCTCGCGTCACACGCGCCCAACGATCCCGCGGGTCGTCGCCGCGACAGTCCTCCGGGTTGATCAACGTACCATGATGATCGTCGAGAAGCTGACTGAAAGGCCACCCCTCGTATCATTCCATTCTAATTGCCATAGGAGCCGTGTTTACCTCGTGCACACGAGCCGCGTACTGGAAAGTCGGCCTGCCTTCCGCCAGAGACGATAAGTATCGATTTTACGGGGTCACCAGCTGCGCCATCTACGCGCCAACCCTGTCTGCCCGGCGTCGGGACGCCCTCCACGCGCCTCCTACACCCTTCTGCTGCCAATCCGCTTTGCTGTCGTCCGACGCGCGGAACCAAAGATATTACTCACCGGATGAATACTTAGAAGACCGTTAAGACTAATGTACGACCGGTCGCGAGACGCGTGTCGTCGCGACGACGCCCCCGCGTTCCCCATGGCGACCCCCTGTCAGCGCGAGAGTTTCTCGTCGATCGGACAGCCTACATAGATCACGCGAACTTCGACGAGGAATTTATTACCCCTGGCGGAAGCGTCGTTTCGGCGTACTTCCGGACGTGGAAATTGCGGGGAAGGGGCGATGGGAAGCTGTCGTATATCCGGGGGGCTTATCTGAAGTGTCGGGAATGGAGGTGACGAGAAAGAGGGAGTTGTATTAGGTCAGATGTTTTGAATAGTTCTCTTAAGGCGATCGAGCAAAAGTTGATCGACATTGTTCAATGTTTCGTCTAAAATTTGTAAACTTAGGTCAGGTTTACAACCGAGCAAAAATTATTCTACGTTCCACTTTGACATAACACAGAGGGGAGAACAAAGGAGCAATTCTGAAAGGAATAACGAGACGTTCCACTCAGTTTTTCTACAGTCGAGTATCTGGCACGTCTGATCATTACTTACTATTTCTACTTACGCTACGTTTACGACTCACTGTTTCGTGTAGAATCACAACCACGTTCCGGGTTGCTCTACGGTTACTGGAATATTCTACATATTTATTTTATTCAGAAGAGGAGTCATTCGGTTCATCGTCTTTCATGTTTATTCTAATGCTAGCTTATGGCAGCAGCTTCGCTCGCGTGTATATCAGTTCGCAAAGTTCCATTAGAATTAAATTTACAGTAGGGAGTACTTGAATTTATGTACGCAGAGTGTCTTGAAAATACAGGGCCGTACCTCGGGTAGCGAATCTCCACGCGCTAAAACAACGTCTGATTCGGCCCTTTCACCCTGCAATGACTCATGTGACTGGCAGCAGATTTTCCATTCGCGAAGACGTCTCGTATTCGAGGGTCGTAGCAACGACGACAGACGTATTAAATTTGTATTAACGGCAGAGGCGCGGGAAACTGGAGCGCGATGATATTTCAGCGGAACGATTCGAGCCTCGAAATCTCGACTTGGTGACGCGCGCGAGAAAGCCAAGCTCGGCTTAAATTGTAATTAGAAACGAAGGCAAGAATTCGTAGCGCTTCGGCTGCTCTTCCAGAGGCGAGCTTCTCTATTAAAGCGTCTCGCGGCACTGGGTGAGCCTACTTTCGCGGCGCGCATTGTCGTCTGAAGTTGAAACGAAGAAAGCGGAAATTACCAGCCCCTGGCGGGGCGCGACGGCGGTATGGCTTCATTAGGCGAATTACGGTCGGTAGTTACGAATCGCGTTTTCGGGATGGGAATTATGTAAATATTCCGAACAAACGATCCGTTTCGGGCAACGTAAGGCTGCCTAAATTAGGCCACATTCGACATGTTCTTTGCGCCCTCGATGCCCCACTCTGAGACTCTCCGTTTGCGTTGGTAAAAACATTAGCCAGACACCGCATACTTTCAGAGTACACTGTCTGAAATTTAATGAAACAAATTTCGTGCAGACGATAGAATAAATCTCCAGAGCGAACATATTATTATCCTTGATTTCGTAAATTGGAAGAACATGTGCATATCGTACGGATAGAATTGCATAATTGTGCAAACGTAGGGTACAGCCTGAGGCTGCTTTTAAACTAGCCTCGAAATTATGGGTACATACACCGCTTTGTACAACATAGAATACAGTTTAAACTGCCTTTCAACAATAACGTTACAATTATACCCCGCGTTTAATAGCTGGACAATATCCAAATTCATCGTTCGAAGTGCTCTGAAAATTCTGACTTTCGCGTTATACCGTTTCTATAAAAATTTCGAAGAATAAGAGTCGCACATCGCATCTCCAAGTACTAATGCATGTTCCTGGATATCCAAAGAATCCCCGCGAAATCCCCTACAAATTATTCCCATAAAGGAGCCGGTAAAAGCATCGTGCTCTAAATCTAGCCCGCTTACAGTAACGACTCCAAACTGTGAGACCACCGGTGCACGCGACGTACCAAAAATGACTGGCATGCGACACTAAACTATACTGTACAATACTTAATTCGAGCATCGAACAACATATTCATTAGCATCTATCTCAATCATGTCGGTAAGCTGGCACGGTTACGACAGCGAAATTTCCGTAGTCATAAATTACAAGCATCTCGCAACTCGACACCGCCACCAACAAACTAATTACGAGCCGAACGAACGGGGGACGCGCTCCTACATTATCCAGAAATCCTGGTTCTGCTACCAATTGTTTTTAATTAACTCGTACTCGTCCTCGTGTTAATAGAGCATAGGACTCTAAGAATTGAAATGCTTTTTCCATAAAAGAAATTTCAAAGTCTTGGAAATAATGTACGTCGCATTGTCAACTATCTGACCTATCTAGGTGGAGCAAAAGTGGAGGATTTGTATTCTTCTCCCCGGCTGGGTTACCCTTTGGACCACTTCTTCCAGAAGCTTTTATAGACGCGCTATGAAAGAGAGGTCAACAGGATGTTTAAATGCTGAATCCCTGCGCTGCATGAAAACACAGTCAGAGTGTTAAATTCAAAGATCAACTCCTTTGGACCTGGACTTTTGGTCGTGTTTATTAAATATATCAGAAGACTGTAATTTCATTTACTTGGTTACTTGAACCATACTTTTACAGTGAGTCCGTACCGTGTCATAGCACTCAGAGTACTCTGGCTATCGAGCTTATAAGCGTCTTGATCCGAAGATCATGAACGAGATCTACCCTCTGACACACCACTGCCAGAGGTTATTGGACTCGGAATAACTAGCCCTCTCATCGTTATCCGAGTCATAAAGGGAACGGGGACGGGAGATCCCAGACTCTAGTCGGCGTTATGAAGCTTTTCCTTCGGTCATCCTTACAACCAGAGTCTAATAAAACTCCCCCAGAGACAAGACCCTCTAATAGAATAGTGTGACAGTGGTTCGAACATTCATTTTCATTAAAGATAGATAGGTCGACCCCCAAAATCACTTATATCCGGCACCATTAAATTTTTTATCTACGAGGAAATTACGTGACATACGTCAATAATCTGTACAGAATGAAAATCGACGAGTTATTTTTGCAACTCAATTTTTGAAAGAAGCGACGGAGAACGAGAAACGAGCGTTTGAACTCGATCAAAATCTAGGGGTACGAATTCTCGAAGGATCAAACATTGGTCCTGAAAGGCTTAAATAAGGAACACTCATAACCGGGGAAAGATTCGATTCAAAGACGGGAAACGAGAGACGGCCATCATTAGGGCGGATAAAAATTTAACGCGAAGTTATGGAACGAGATCCTTTCTCGAATTCCCTTCCCGAGTCGGCGGAATTTTGAAAATTTCAGAGACCGTCCGCGGAGAACGCCCGTGGGACGTAAATATTTGAGATCGCGAGATCCAGCCGAACTTGCGCAACGTTGATGGCGCTCGGGCGTCGACTGTTTAAGGCTGACCTCTTTCCTTGCACGCGATTCTCGGAACTCGCTGCCGCGCAGAAAGACCCAGAACCAGTGATGGGATCAATTCATTGACATACTCATTAGCGCCCGACGTACCGATTCCCAACTATCGCGAGCTATCCTTGTTAACCTCTAGCTAGTATCGATACAATTTAAACCAGGGAGGATCAAACGTGACAGTTGTTCTAAAAATTTCTATGATAAAAGAACTTATATGGTTCTGGGTCAGAGTACACCGCACAATAATCGTAAACTCTACTGAATATCTACTCGGTACAGCTACGGAAAATTTTCACGGACTAAATGTATGTTTACAGAGGCAATTCCTTTACTCTGCGCTGATGAGCGCCAGCTTTGAAGTCGAAACGTACGAGTAAATTAATTAGGACGTTGAAACTTGACCAGAGCGAACGAAAACCAGGTTCTCCGTCCCCTATACTCGGTATCCTCCGACGTTAGAAACCCCGATACTCTTAAGCAAATATTCTTCCTTCGACTCGATCCACTAATTTCGTCCACGATTGTTTCGAACAATAACACGCGACATCCGCGACTCGAACTTTTATTGTTATTTTTCCACGATACTCTTTTAGATTAGCGAAAGTCACGTAAACGTAAATAAAACGTGCGACACGGAGATCGAAAAATAGTTTTTAGGTTGGAGGACCGAGAATTTCTGGTAAAATTTCATGAAAATCGACGCTCGACGGTTCGGCAGCTATTCTCTTTTTAATACCATCGCGACCCAGCGACCACTTTCGGTGCTCGTTCCGCGACAGTGGAACACATTGGTCCGCGCACGATCGTTTTACGCGCCAGTTCCTTTAATCCCGAAATTTCCTTGTTGATCCTCCACGGTCCCGCGGAATAGCTTCGTCCCAGAGCCCGGCGTCGGTCGTTACTTCTATTACCGCGCGACATGCACGAGACGTCGACACACTTTTCGCAATGGAGGCTGCCGCAGATATTTACCCTCGCAGCTGTCGCGCGCGGGTTCAAAGACGGATCTCCTATATCGGAGCCGCAATATCGGTATATAGGACACCGAGGGGAATTGCACAGACCTCGGCCCCATTATGAAAGGCCAAAAGGGCACGGCGCTGCTCTCCTCGGACGTACGCTGTACGTGGTTACGCGTGAAAATGTGTAAGACGATCCTTGGGAAGCGTCCTCTATGCCGATGTCCCTGTGAAAACGATCCTGGCTCGTTTCACGCTAAATCGGTCACTTTTTGCGACGGACGCCGGGGGATTTTCGTGAAATTGAAATATGATGTACTCCGCGCGAAATCGGACGTCGTTTAAGTCATCTTTTTACTGGTTCTGAATTTGTTTGGACCGTAGATGACGTTGAATTCTGCT